TAACAAATAAGTATTGAGTACCTGTGCAGTACCAGAGACCATTCTCAGCCTTGAGGAAACACAACAAGCAAAATTCTTATGAATTAAATTCTAGAACAAATAAACTGTAACTCAAGTAAACAAAATTTTGAAAAAATTTATAAATAAAACAATAGAGTGTTGAAAGAGTAAATAAAAAGAGGCCAACCAATTCTGACAAAGTTGTTGGAGGTTTTTCTGAGAAAATCCTATTTAAAAATAAGAAAGATGAAGAAAAAGGAGGTAGTCATACAAAGTATGGGAAGAGAAGTGATCCCAGCAGAGTGCAGAGCTCTCACTAGGACCTGAGGCGTACATTAGCTTGTTTTGTTGGGATGTGGTCAAAGGACTAAGTGAAATTCAGTTATCAGGAGAATAATGCACAAAATTAAGAGAATCATGAGATGAATTTCGCTATATTTTCAGAGGCCATAAGTTGAGTTTTCTAGGTTATAATAAGGATTTCACACCTTGAGCAGCTACCAGAGACTTAAAGTTAAAAGGGCACATGATAGGATTTACGTTTTGACAATATAAATGTATTTTGTAAGAGACAACATGAAGGCAGAGTTTAAGAGATGTTTGTGGTTGTTCAGGAAGAGATGATCATAACTTAGATCAGAGAACTAACAGTGAAAATGGAGAGCAGTGAACAGATTTTTAAAAATATTTGGAAGATAGAAATGCCAAAATTAGTTGTTGGTGTAAGATTAAAGAGCCAGATATTAAATTGGTTTAAGATTAAAGGAGCCAGAGACTAAGTTCTAATTTTTTTCTGGTTTGACAAAGAATGGTATTATTTTCCAAGAGGAAGAAGTTGGATATTGGAAAAGGCATGGATCCTGTATCTCTGTTACCTGTTCTCTATATTGGACTTGAACACAGCTTGCATATATAGAGAGATTACTTTCACAATAATTCAGTAGATAGGATGCTTTCTTTTCATGTTTCAGGTTATCTATAGACATCTCAAAATGTGTTTCCTTGACCTGACATAGTGCCTCAGCTATGGTTCTGATCAGAAGTGAATATGGTAAGATTATGACTTCCCTCGTTCTTGATGAAAGGCTTAATACAGCTTAGGATCACTTCATATAATGAAATACCAATTTATTTACTCAACTAAAAAAGTCTCATCACTTATATTTTCAAATCACACCATGTGTTTGAACAATTGATTTTCCCAACTGCAATGTTTTTATCCTATTTAATTTCATCTGCTTAATTTGACCCATTGTTCCAGTCTGTTGGCATTATTTTGGATTTCTGTTGAAGGATTTTGTTCTTTTACCAACTCATCTGCAAATTTGATAAGCCTGTCTTTTTATTTTGATTCAAATCATTCCTATATAAATATTGATCAAGATAGAGCTGAGAACAGATGATGTACCAAGATACTAGAAATATTCCTTTAGATTGCCATCATTTTATTAATTCTTATTCTTTTCCATGTGGTTAATCAGTATCTTTGATCTATACCTAATAATATTTTCTTTTCATAAATAATGAAAGATTTTATCAAGCTGCTGAATGTAGGTTTATCATACCCAAGATATTTGAACTAGAGTTGATTGTGACCCTTTTGCAAAGGAAATTGAGAGTACTTTGAAAAGCTTGTGAAAATTGAATTTAAAAATAAGGATTTTTTTGGTGCAAAAATTTGAGATTTGTGCATGCAATGGGCCTTAAAAAGTTTATGTAAAAGGCTTATTATGAGAAACTCTATAGATTTCAAAAAAATTGCACCAAAATAAATTTATGATTCAATTTTCTGAAAACTTTTATAGTACCCTTATATATGATGTAATTAGTTTGTTATACAGTTATACTGTTCCTTGGACATAACCCATTTATCAAATGCTACCAAATAATCTTAAAATAATTTCTAAATTTATGGAGGAAGATGCTATTGTTAATATAACATACATTTTGTTGTAAAAACATGATCTTTATTAGGTGGTCCTCAGTGTTCTGGTAACTTTTCCATCTCCATGATTTTGCTTTTCATTCTTGCATTACATACAAAAGAAAAACCTATTTCCTTTTCCTTGGCACATTGTATAATAGCTCATTTAGAACTTTAGATTTTATGATCATCTTCTTGTAGGTTTATTCCACTGTCACAAGTGTGCCCTTTGTGATAGATTCTTCTTTTATAAAAGCAAAGAAGGGAAAATTATCTTTAAATGATGACATATAATGACAGGTAGATAAATTCAGAGAAGATGAAGGGGAGAACTAAACAGAAGAGATTGCTGAAAGGAACTAGCTACAGATTTACTTTCTGGTCCTTTAAATGGCAGGACTCGCTAAAGTAACTGAATTTTTGAGAAATTAAGTATCGCAAAGTTGACAGGTTGCTTTTTATTTGTTTCCTTATTCTTTCTGGTGACTGTAAAGGAACAAGTACTAGTGAAAATAAGATCACTGAGCTCACTCATTTTTTAAATGGTCAAATTAAAGTGTGATATCTAGAAGAAAGAATGGGTCCATTTTTAAAGTTCAAATTGAACTTTAGGTTATTTTTTGTATTATTGTGCTATAATTATTATTGCTAGTCTTAACAAAAAACTCTAAATATGAATACATGAGCTAAAAAGTAACTACTTATTCGTATTTCAAGAAAAAATAGTGATTTTGTCATGTAAAGCCTGAAAAGACATTTTCTTGTGTACACGTTGTTGATTGAAAAAATTTTCAGCAGTGATTGAAAAATGAGATTTATATCATAACTAAATAATATATAGTTCTTGAAAATAATATTAAAAAATTTTTGCAGTATGATTCACAGCATAGAGATAAATTGTTTTCAGAAAATATTAGAAAACACATATAAAATTTAAAAGATATAAAGTCTGAGGTATTTAATTAAATGCATCTATATTGTTGATGCAGGGATTTCTACTGAAAATTTAAATACATGGGGCCATGATATATATTTCAAAATGACTTCCCTAAATTGTAGAATAAAGGAGCTGTGAAAAAGTAGAGAAGTCAAAGTAATGATGGAAATGCTAAAATGAATTTCAAAATTCTATCGAGGAATTTATCTGACTTTCCTTTCTTTGGATGAAATGGATGCAATTCACTAAAACTAGAAATAAATACTAATGAATTTTGAGGAAAGTGATATTTTTATTCATTTTTATTTATTTGAAAGACAGAGTTATAGAGAGAGGTAGAGAGAGAGAGAGAGAGAGAGAGAGAGAAAGTCTTCCATTCGCTGGTTCACTCCCCAGATGGCTGCAATGGCCGGAGTTGTGCCGATCCGGAGCCAGGAGCCAGGAGCTTCTTCCAGGTCTCCCACGTAGGTGCAGGGGCCTAAGGACTTGGGCCATCTTCTACTGATTTCCCAGGCCAGAGCAGTGAGCTGGACGGGAAGAGGAGCAGCCAGGACTAGAACCGGTGCCCATATGGGATGCTGGTGCTTCAGGCCAGGGCTTTAACTGGTTGTGCCACAGTGCCGGGCCTGGAAAGTGATGTTTTTAAATCTCTGAAATATAAGATGTCTGTGAGAATTACAAGATAAAGAAGCACAGCTTATGGTTGTTATGAGTATTAAATGATTAAGCATCTGTATAGAGCTTCAAACTGTGGTAAATTACAAGGAACATATAAGTGTTCAATAAACAATACACAAAGCAAACATCTCAGAAAGAGGATCTGTCTGAAGATAATTGTTTTTGAATATTCATAATTTAGATAATTGTTTCTCATCAAGAAAACTATCATATACTGGGAAAGATTTTCAGTATATAATCCTGTACTCCTTTCTAAAAATTCTGATTATTAGTTGCTTACCAATATGTATTCATTTCTTCTTTCTAACTAACATGGTTCCAGTTGTATAACAGCCAGCAAAATGCCTATGTTAAAGGCTGTATTTCGTATCCTCTCCTTTGCAGCTATAGATAGCCAATGGAAAGTAATTAGAAATTACTTGAAAAACTTCTATGAAAACCCCCCTATTATATGTGAAATGCACTCTTTTGTCAGTTTCCTCTTCCTCTATATTACTGACTGAAATGTAGACATGATATGTGAAGCTCTACTTGCTGTCTGGACTCAGATTAGAAGCATTTGAGTGCAGAAACCATGCAGATTCAGTAAAATAGAGATGATTAAGGAAACCTGAAAGAGCCTGGGTCCCTGATGACTAGGTGAAACTTCTGTTACAATCCTGGGTGAACTCTGAAGTGAAAAAAAAATAACAGAAAATTATTAAAACATTCGTAACTAGTTTACAGACATTAATCAGTTTGAGTTTGAGTTGCCCCCATTCTCCATAAAGCTCCTCTTCAATATTTCCTTCATTCTATATATATATATATATATATATATATATATGATCCAGTTGTACTGTAAGACTTGCAACAATTCTGGTCCCCTCTCCTTCCCTTTCTTCTTTTATTGTTCTGTGGAACAACTTTGTCCCTCCCCTTTCTGGCTGTCTGGACAACACTATATTGTGTCTCTTTTTATTGCTTATTTCTCCTCCCACATTTTTCTATAGTCATGGAATTCTATTAACAGATCCACTTTTGCCTCAGCGTCCTTCACAGCATTATCTAAGATTCATATAGTTAAATATATATAACTAAATGTATATTGCTGAAGAGATATATATTTTCTAAGATAATTATCATTAATTGTTAATAAAAGAACAATTCATCAAAATTGAATACATCAATGATATTTGAGGGAATAGAAAAGCTAATTAGCCTAATTTGATCATTATATATTATCTACCTGTATTAAATTATAGAACTGTCCCCCATAAATAAATATGAATATTACATCTAAATTAAAGATATAAATTTAAAATCATATACAATGGAGCCCTATTCATTTTTTCTTAACTCTATGTCACAGGCTTATGTTCCTGTTCTTTTAAAGAAAAATCAATGTATAATACTTGTGAAGAGCTCTTTGAGAACTCCCAAACATATGAGATATCACTGCTTTCATTTTGTTTTTCACAGAATATAAATTCTCCTGTAGATTTAAAACAGTCTAGTAAGTACAGAGAACATGTTTCCTCGATTTTATATGGATTAAAAACAAAAGATACCAGCTTGAAATCAAAAAAGTCAAGATATCTCATTCAAAGAGGTTAGTTATATAAATTTTCTATTTTATTTAATGAACATAATTTGGTGAATACTGTGTAAAGTAATCAGAAATTGGGCTTGCTGATTTTGAGCTATAAATCGAAACTCTATTCATAAATTGTTTCATGGATACCAAGAATGTGCTTTTGATTAGATGTTGGGAATTAAGAGAAACTGGTGTTAACAAGGATTATATTGAGCAGATAGCTTTGTTACTCTATGATGATATAAGCATTGTACCTCCTTCAGGAGATAGGTGGTGTCAGAAAATTATTATATATTATATAAATTAGCAAATACTACACCTTTGATAATAAATCTTGTGTTATATAAAATATATATGTGATCGTTCTAATAAAATTTTAGTTATCAAATGTGTACTGTTTTTCTTTCAACAATTTTTTCTGGTAAATTTTATAAAGTCAGATAAATATTCTTTTCTGTCTCTGTTTTCCACAGAAGGACCATACGATCATTACTGTAAAATCAGATGAAGAATTTACCAGTTTTCTTACTCCTTAATTATTAAAATCTTTTTCTAACAAAACTCATGGTGATATCTTTTTCCTTATTGATTTTCTCTTTGTTTCATATGAAGTAGTGAAACTTTAAGATCCTTATTTGGCCTGTGATTTGTTATTTCATGGCCATACCCTTCTTTTTAAGTACTTTATGTATTTCATTAAACTCCACATCTTTTATTTCCATGTAATTTTATTTTTATACAATTTTTACACTCCCAGAATTAAATACCAAAATGAAATGAAAGGCAAAAACCAGAATTTCCATATCCCATACTTCCCCACTCAGTCTTCTTACTACTCCAAGGCAATTAATTCAGTAATTTTGAGAGTCCTTTGTTACGTAATTTTGTATTTCCAATTGACATGTTCATTCTGATAAACTTTTTGAAATTCAGATATTATCTGTAACTTTCCGCTGTAAAAGATTTAATTTTCATGTAATCCTTTTTTTTTTAAGATTTATTTATTTATTTGAAAGACAGATTTACACAGAGAGAAGGAGAGGCAGAGAGAGAGGTCTTCCATCAGCTGGCTCACTCCCCAGTTGGCTGGAGCTGCGCTCATCCAAAGCCAGGAACTTCTTTTGGGTCTCCCACATGGGTGCATGGGCCCATGGAATTGGACCACCCTCTACTGCTTTCCCAAGAACATTAGCGGGTAGCTGGATTGGAAGTGGAGCAGCCAAGACTCGAACCAGTGCTTATATTGGATGCCAACACTGCAGGCAGGGGCTTTAATCTAGGCTTCTTGTTCTTTTAACTTATAAATATTTTCATAGTACTTCTCTTCAATTGTGATCCAGAGAATTCTTCTGTGTCTCAGCAGTGTTAGAACCTCTATTTCCAGGAATCTCTAGATTTTTCTTTCTAACTTTATTTTATTATTTTAGTGGAATGCCTTTAACATTATTACTTTTGAAACTTTATGCAAAGGAGAAAAATTTTGTAAAAGTTTGAAAGTCTAAGCATATGCTAAACTCATATTTGGTTGATGAAATGAATAGCATGGAACTTTTCAGAAATGTGTAGAATTACCTCATTGTGTTCTGTCTTTCTGTGTTACTTTTGAGAATCCCATGGCTGTTATTAGTCTGTTGAATTCGTGTAATATTCTTCTCTCACTCTCCTCTATTTTTTGTTGTCCTCCTCTCACTAGGAACTTCCAGCATGTTCTTCTTATACCAGGTTTTCTAAAATTTTGCAGTGATTTATCTCAGATTTTCTTTGGTTGTGTTTTTCTGTATCCAATTTCTTAAGGCTTATCTCAGATTTTCTTTGGTTGTGTTTTTCTGTATCCAATTTATTAAGGCTTATCTGAAAATTTATATATGCCAGTTCAAGAGTGTCTTTCTTATATTATTTTCACATTAAATATACATAAAACAATTTAAACTATATTTTATTATGAAGTTCTGCAGTATTAATACTCATATTGTTGTATGCCTATCATAACTATCCACCTCTTAAATTTTTTTATCATTCTCAGTTGAAAATCTGTACCCATTAAAATTAAACCCATTCTGATTTCCCCCAACCTAAAGACCTTGGCAATCACTATTCTGCTTTGTGTCTCTTAGAATTTCTCTGCTCTAGATGTCTTGTATAAGTATAAATACATATATATAATTAATAGATTGTTAGCATATATTAATAATATATTTAAAGATATAATATAATATATCAATATATATAAAGTATAAATACAATATATTTGTCCATGAATGTCTGATTTATTTAATTCAGCATAATGTCTTCAAGGCTCATCTCTGCTGTAAAATGTATCAGAATTTCCTTCTTTTTAAGGCTGAATAATCTTCTATTACATTTATATAATATATTTTGCTTTTCCATTCCTTTGACATGTAACACTTGAGTTGTTTCCATGTTTTAGCTATTGTGAATAATGCTACTATCATCATAGATGTACTGCTTTGAGTCCCTGTGTTCATGTGTTTGGAATATTTACCTAAAGGTGGAATATCTGAATCATATGATAATTTTATTATTAATTTTTTGGGAACTCCATATGGTTTTCCACAGCAGCTGTAGAATTTTTCATTTTCACCAACTATGCTCATGAATTCCAGTTGTGACACATTGTGTCAGCACCTGTTATTTCTGTTTTATTTTCCTTAAACAATAGCCACACTGATGGGTGTGAGGTGGTATTTCACTGTGGGTTTAATTTGTGTTTCCTTATGGATTAATGACGTTGAACGTATTAATTTCATGTACTTAATTGTTTATTTGAATTTGTTAATTGGAGAAATGTCTGTTTAAGTCATCTGCCCATTTTCTTTAGTTTGATGTTTTGTTCTTGAGTAATAGGATTTCTTTATGTAGTTAGGATTTTGATCTCATCAAAACTATGATTTGCAAATATCATCTCCCATTCTGTATTAGTATTTGTCCTTAACCACGGAAATGCATTTCAATTTTGATGAAGTTCAGTGTATTTATTTTTTCTTTGGTTGCCTGTGCTTTTTGTTTCATATCCAAGAAATCATTGAGAAATCAAATGCTATGAAGGCTTCTCACTGTTTTCTTCTAACAGTTTTAAAGTTTTATATCTTATGTTTAGATATTTGATCCATTTTGGCCTAATTTTTGATTGCAATACAGAATTCAACTTCACTGTTTTGTATGTGGATATCCAGTTTTTCCAAGACCGTTTGTTAAAAATGTTCTCCTTTGTCTATTGAATTGTCTTGGAATCATGTGGAGGATCATTTGACCATAAAGGCAAGAGTTTAGAAAGGTGCTCAATTCCGTTCTGTTCTTTTGGTCTTTATGCCTATCATTATGCTACACAATGCTTTTGTTACTGTCATTTTGAAATAAAGACATATGAGAGACCTCCTACTACTCTTTTCAAAATGATTTTGACTCTTTGGTGTCCCTTGAAGTTCTATATGAATTTTAGAATACATTTTTCTACTTCCTAAAAAACGCCTTAAGAAGTTTGATAGGGATATAAATGAATTTGTGCAACTATTGGTTGTAAATTAATATTAAAATTTCCTATTCATGAAAGTAGTGTGTATTCATTTATTTCTTTATTCTTTAATTTATTTCACTAGTACTTCTATAAAGCTGTATTTTTTTTTTCTGTTGGTTGCCTGGTTTTATTTTGTTGACTTTAATATATTGATATTTTCAACAACAAATGTTTTACCATCTTTTTGCCTTTTGTCATTATGTGTATTCCTGAGTGTTTTATTCTTTATAAGTTTATTATAAGTTGAATTGTTTCCTTTATCTCCTTTTGTTTGTTCATTGTTCTTGTGTGAAAGCACAGCTGGTATTTGTGGGTTAGTTTTGTAACCTGCAATTCTGCTGAGTTTGTTTATTAATTCTCACAGTGTGAATGTGTATGTTTGTGTGTTTGTGTGTGTGTGTTTGTAATCATTAGGGTTTTCTATATACAAGATCATATTCTCTTTGGTTGAACCATTTTATTTCTTTTTTTTCAATTTATATGCCATTTTCTTTTTTTTTTTTTTTTTTTTGCCTTGTTGCTTTGACTTCTGGTACTATGTTAAATGAAAGTGGACACTCTTATTTCTTATCTTGGTATGAAAATTTTCAGTTTTTTATAATTGAGCATCATGGTTAGTATGGATTTTACCTTTATCACTTTCATTATATTGAGATAGTTTTCTTTGAAACTCAAACTCAGGAAATCTGATAGAGTATGTGAGTCTCCCTGCAGTGTCTTAACTACTCTACCAAATTATATGCTGTCCCCTCTTTTAGTATTTTATATATAACATTGCTTTGCCTTCTAACCTGCAAAATTTATGCAGATATCTGCTGCAGGTTAGAAAGCAAAGCAATGTGTGATTTCTTACATATGGTGTATCAGTTCTTTTGTTTTCAAGATTCTCTCTTTTGTCTTTGAATTTTGTGTTTGTTTTTATATTTTGATTAAAATATTTGTATTGTACATATTTATGGAATGTGAATTTTTTATGCTCCTAGAATAATTTTTAAAATTTAAGATTTAACAATTTTTAACATTTTGTCATATTCACTTCCTATGTAAATATTATAAAACAGACATGTACTATTTTTCTTGGAAACAGGGATGTTTTCACATAATGTGTAATCATAACAATGATCTTAAAGTATGGAAAGAAGAATATATTGTTGTAGATTGTATAATCCAGTGAAGGCAATATTTATAACCACATACAAATAATATGACATCCACAGAATTTTCATATTCTATGTTAATTCCACATATGAGAGAAAACATATAATATTTGTCTTTTTGTGTCTGGTTTATTTCACTTAGCATAATGATCTCCAATTCCATCCATTTTGTGCAGATACCAGAATTTCACTCATCTTTATAGCTGAGTAATATTTCATCATGTATATATACCATATTTTCTTTATCTAGTCATCAGTTGATCGACATATAGGTTGGACCTCTATCATTGCTGTTGTGAATTGGGCTAGTATAAACATGGGAG